CATACGGCACTTGTAATTCATACGGAAATTGGGATTCATTCGGCAATTGGGATTCATACGGTTTTTGCCGCAACCGTGACCGTAACTTGCTGTGTGTCGTACGGTTCATTGGGACAGTTCCGCCTGCACCTCTAAACCGGACACTGCTTTAGCCAAAAAGGATGTTTGTGGTATGTTGCACCTGATCTTAAAATCTGATTCGTAGTGCAGTAAATCTGCGCCACAAACCTGATTCAAGGGGTGCATGTAAACGTAACGGTAAAGAGAATTGAATGTAAATCATTTTTAAAATCAAAATTTATCCCTACTGGCAAGTACATACGTACTGTACATACCGTCATCCGCAAATCTAACACCACTTTTTCTAGAGAAAATCGGTCGTTACATTTGGGAATATATAAGATTACATGAATACTCATTACCGGAATAATTATTTTACACGTGTAATTGTGTTACCTATGTGTATCCGTCAATTATCCGAGTGATCCCTTAGGTTATCTGTTTTTTGCTAATCACTAGCAGAATATACGGAGGTAGCCCTTTATTTAGCAATTTTACATTATATAGTTATGGAATGCAAGCAGAGTATGTTAATGACTAGTACATATAATATAGTAGGTACTATTAAACGTCACCAATAAGCTTGCATCAAAGATTTACTTATAATTAAAATAGAATAATTCGGTTCTGACTGAACGTTCAATTTATATTAAACTGAATGGTACCTTTTTCTATCATTAATGAAGCCTCATTTTTTCTCATGCTTAATGACTGTTTAATAATACGTAATAAGGAATAAAATCAATTTCGATAATGTTCGACAAATTAAATAATGCAATAGCCAGTAGTTTCATTGGTAGACACTTTAAGCTTGAAAACAGTGGTGTACCTAATGCTCGTAATACTAGATTCACCACAGAGTTCCGTGCTGGGTTGGCGACCTTTGTTACTATGGCTTATATTATATCGGTTAATGCAATAATCCTTGTTGATTCAGGTACAAAAATTTTATCATACTAAAATATATTAACACATTATTAAATTCTCAATTAATTTAATTGTTAAGGTGGTCCATGCGTTTGCAACTCCGGTGCCGGAGATTTATGTGTAAATGATTCTGATTATTTAGCTTGTCAAGAAATAGTGAAGAAAGATTTAATTACTGCGACGGCTGCTGTTTCGTGCATAGCAACCGCTATTATGGGATTATTTGCAAATTTACCGTTAGCTCTTGCTCCAGGGTAAATTCAAGTTGTAATCCATGTAAATTTTAAATCATCATTCAATATTATAATTTAATTACTTAATTCTTTAAGGATGGGAATGAATGCCTACTTCACTTACACTGTAGTTGGCTTTCATGGTTCGGGTAAAATTGCGTATGAAACTGCTATTGCCGCCGTATTTGTAGAAGGCCTTCTCTTTGTATTTTTGTCTGTATTTGGTCTTCGTCAATTACTTGCAAGGCTTATCCCCATGTCTATAAAAATTGCAACTGGTGCCGGTGTTGGTTTCTTTATCACCTTTATTGGATTACAAAGAAGTGCTGGTATTGCCTTAATAAGCCATGATCCTTCTACAATAGTAACTCTTGGTGGCTGTCCTGATCAATATTATAATAAAACTACTGGTATTTGTACCGGTCATAATATGGAAAGTCCAACTACTTGGTTAGGAATTCTCGGTTTCGTAATCATTGTGATCCTATTACTTTTTAGAGTAAAGGGAAGCATGTTTTTGGGAATTATTTTCATCAGTATCGTAAGTTGGTTTAGAAACAGTCAAGTCACCTATTTTCCTTACACGTATGTCTTAAGTAAAATGATATTAGTTTGTTCTGTAATATTGTTTAATGTTATAATAAATACTGTAATGAATACTAAGATGAATATTGTGTTATATATTTTCTTCCTTTTCTTCACAGGGATGATGGTAATGCTCGATTTGATTTCTTTAAAAATGTCGTTGGTTTTCATTCCATAGAAAAGTAAGGATTATTTATACGATATTTCCGCTCATTTGTACGTACGTATTTATAAATATATTCCATTACTTAAGGACACTAGGTGCGATGCATTTCAACCTTGGAAGCTCAGATGTCTGGCTAGCCCTAATAACATTCCTATATGTTGATATACTGGACACTACTGGCACTCTTTTTTCAATGGCAAAATTTGGTGGCTTTCTAGATGAAACTGGTGATTTTGAAGGATCTACAGCAGCATTTATATGTGATGCTTCTTCAATTTCGATTGGTGCTATTTTTGGCACATCTCCTGTTACTACATTTATTGAATCTGGTTCTGGAATTACTGAAGGTGGCCGAACTGGAATTACTTCTCTTACTGTAGCATTCTTCTTTTTTATTTCGTTATTCTTTGCTCCCATTTTTGCTAGCATACCTCCGTGGGCTTCTGGTCCTGCCTTAGTGATTATTGGTTCTATGATGGCAAAGGGTATTAAAGATATTAATTGGAAATATATTGGTGATTCTGTGCCTAGTTTCTTGTAAGTATCACTTTATCTATATATCTCTTTATGTATCATTCAAATTTTAGTTACATATTTTTGATTTATAGGACTATTGTGATTATGCCATTGACATATAACGTCGCTTATGGTTTAATCGCTGGTATCGTTTCTTACATGGTTATTAATACTCTTGCATGGCTAATAGAAAAAATATCATTCGGACGTATAACGCATGACAAATCAAATAAAGAACCTTGGGGTGACTTTATGATTGGACCAGGTGGAGAAGGATTATTACCTAGTTGGATTGTTCCCGTTGTATATAAGATTCGTGGAGTGGAAAGAACTATGGAAATAAAAGAATCTGTTGAAATGAAAGAAACGAAGGAAATAAGTAATATGAATCGTGATGTTGCTGTTGATGTTGATGGAAAGAATGAATAAAAACTTTTGCTTTTTTTTCGTGCTTATAGCTAGCTTTATTTATGCTTTTCATTAGTATAGTAGCAAAAGTTACAAAATTATGACCATTTTTATATCCAAATTGACTTTATTAATGATTTAATTTAACAAAATAATTAAAGTTGTACATTAGCCCTTATCACATTTCTTTTTAAAGCTATTATTAATTGATTTTTATTGTTTGGAGTGAATATGTTCTTGATATGGTACGTTCAAACTATACGTATGTTGTCAAACTAAGAGAACGTATATCGATATATTACGACGTTTACGACACTAAGTTAAGCAATTAGAATATCAGTAATAGTCGTAATTTAGTATGGGGAAATCCAACCCACACTTATATATAGCATTATAATTAATAAAAATAGATAATAGCTTTTTAGTTGCATCAGGACTGTAATTCATAACAAGACACTTAAATAACTTTATTAATGGCCTATTAATATTGAAATATATAATTTATCAAGTAGCTACTTTAGATATCTGAAGCGGCTACTTTAAAAATTTAAAGTAACTATTTTAGATATCTGAAGTGGCTATTTTAAATATTTAAAGAAATTACTTTGGACAGGACTTGGTTTTTCTGTTTTTGCTTTGTGACTTCCATGGCAATGCAAAAGGACCTTACAAGAAACTTAGCACTTATAGTATTTCATAATAATTGTATTATTAATTTTCTTTGTAGCTATGTAAGGTTCTCTGTGTTTACTATATGAGACTTTTTTCGTTTGCACTATAAGAAAGTTCGCTTGGTATTATTAGTTTTGTTGACATTATATTAAAGAAGTCGCTATAGGTATAAAAATGGGGCAAAAGCTATAAATCAAAGATATATTGGTTTTGCCTTGTTTTTATACCCATATCGACTCCTTTTCAAACATTTTTAGTATAATGGCAACGAAAACTAAATAAAACCAAGCAAGCTTTTTGTAGGCCTGTCATTTCCTTAAACGCAAGTCGCAGTAAAATGGTTTGATAGCTAGGGAGTTCAATTCGGTTTCTCAGGTTCATTATGTAGGAAATTGGGATAGATTGTTTAACACATCTTTTTCTTTAGAGCTCGTGGGTATTTATGTATACTTACGTAATAGTAGAGCCTAGTTCAAAATTGACTTGCACATACATGCATAGTGCATATAAATTTTTAATGTGTAAATTTTTATACTTTTGTTACACAAAATTTTCAATTTGTGCAAGTAAAATATTTTCTGAATTTTAAACACTGAGCGTAACATATTTTTAATACCGTAAAACCGCGAAATAACGAGCATGGGCGTTATTTCGAAAATCGGGTCCTTTAAAAATGACATTTATGATTT